GTGTGTGTGTGTGTGTGTGTGTGTGTGTGTGTGTGTGTGTGTGTGTGTGCGTGCGTGTGTGCGTGCGTGTGTGTGTGCGTGCGTGTGTGTGTGGGTGAGTCAGCGTGTGTTGGTATTAGCAGTGGAGTGGTGGGTACGAGAGGTCGCAGTGAGTACCCTCGAAGGGACACTAGATGGAAAATGGGGTCACGAGAAAAGGACGATGCGAGCGGGTGGTGGGGGGGGGGGGAAGGACAGGGAGAGTGCTTTGTAAGAAACACACGCGCCGAAGCGGTTTATCGAGTTCATCTAGTGAGTGGCAGTAAGTGACTGGGAAGGCGGGAGAGGGAGTGGCGGTCGAGGAGAGAAAGAGTGAGACGAAGAGAGGAGCGATTTAGATACGCGTGAGAGGGAGAACGTAGGTTAAGGGTTCCTCCAAACTCTTGGAATGGAGATCTGTTGAGCTCTCGTTACAAGATACCGTTCCAAGACTTTCACAGATTTAGAAGAAAAGAACGTCAGTTACGAAAAGTCTTTTCATTGGAGCCAGGATGAGCACAAATGCGCGCACACGCACGCACACGCACACGAGCAGGCACGCGCACGCACAGATATGTGAAGGCGCGCACGCACGCACCGGCGAGCGCGAAAATGGAGAAAAATAATAATGGCACATCGAAATTGATGGAGTGTAAATTTGGTTTCTGAGTGTGATGCTGCGTGGAGAATGTGATGAAGCCCATATTTGCTCTGCCACCTAACCATAGCGACAGTGGCAGGAGCAGCAGCAGCAGCAGCAGCAGGAGCGGCGGCGGAGGCAGCAGCGGTAGCAGCAGCAGCGGCAGCAGCAGTAGCAGTAGCAGTAGAAGTAGATGTAGCAGCAGCAGCAGCGGTAGCAGCAGCAGCAGCAGCGATAGCAGCCGCAGCGGCAGTGGCGACAGCAGCAGCAGCAGCAGTAGCGGTGGCGGTGGCAGCAGCAGCAGCGGCGACGGCAGCAGCAGCAGCGGCGGCGGCGGTAACCGCAATGACGGTGGCAGCAGTGACGGTGGCAGCAGTAGCAGCAGCAGCAGTAGCAGCAGCGGCGGTGACACGATATTACGCGTGCGAGAACATCTGTACGTGCGCGCATGCGTGCGTGCGTATACGTGTGTGCGTGCGTGTACGTGTTGACGTGAGTATCCGTCCGTCCGATCTTCCAACCATCCGTCTGTCCGTCCGTCCGTCTGTCCGTCCGTCCGTCCGCCCATCCATTTTTTAGTCCGTCAATCTGTCTATCTCAAGGAAAGACTGCAAAGTAAGTGGGAGGCGATCTCCCCTGGTATTGACCGAGCCCACGCACGTACACGTCAGTTATTGAAATTATATAAATAAATGAAAAGATTTCGTAGGCGAATTATGCGTATTATAAGTTTATTTCCATTCTGTACAGAGACTCTGGCGTACGAACAAACGTAGGCTCATTATTATAGATCCACCGCACGGCGGCGGAACCCTCTCCCTTCCCCGTTCCCACCGCCTCCGTCATCATACATACACCAACCCATATGTACTCGTCACAAATCAAACGAGAAATGACAGCAGAACCCGTGAAACAACAGTGTAAACAATAGTGGCAACACGCAAAGACGCCAAAAAAACTCACACGCGCGCGACCGCGCAGAGACGTGACAAAATTGACGTGCGCGCGTAGTTCCGATAACGACCGCCGCCGCGCCGCGGCAGCACCGTCCGACGCGGAGGGATCGAACTCATGTAGAATTAATAATAGCGAGGCGGCGTCTGCAAATAAACGCAGGCGGTTAACACCCGCGAGAGAAGAATTTCGCACTCGGCGCAGAACGAAGGCGGAGAGAAAAATAACGCAATTACTTTCCGTGTTTTAAACATTTATGCCTTGCCGACGCGCGCGCGCGTATAGCAATTAGGAAGCGTTATGGAAATACGAACTAATCGAAGGAACATGGGGAGCTGTAGAGGAAACGGGGAATTGGTGAGATGTCGCGTGGAAAACAATGACGGAGAGTTTTATTTTAGCGGCGTTAGATTGATTGCATTTCCATAAGTTGCTCTTCGGCTGGTTTTCTGGTGTTTAATTCTCTTCCACCATCTCGCGTTAATTCTCTCTCTCGTGTTTAATTCTTAACTCTTAATTTTATTCTTAACTCTTAAACTTATGTGCGCACGCACGCACATTTAATTCTTAATTCTTAACTCTTCGTGTTTAATTCTCTCCCCATCTGTTACGTCTCTCTCTCTCTCTCTCTCTCTCTCTCTCTCTCTCTCTCTCTCTCTCTCTGTTCTTTTAGTGTTTAACACAGTTTTGCCGACTATCACAGCGAGTATATCTAGCATTATAACATACAATATTCGTAATACAACAATACAATATACACACAATGTATAC